CACTTGTTAAGGCTGTAAAAATGTAAATATCTATAATATGTAGGATCACCATAAACAGCTGTGGGCAACTGTACATATTAATTCCAGTATATTAAAAAAAAAGTTTTATTAAAATAAACAATCAAAGAAATCAAATTTTGAAGGTGCAACAGTTGCGTGGCTTTTTATTGCAGTTAAAAATGGGCCCACGGTTAACAAAAGGAGTAAAAACAAAACCTGCATTAAGTAGCGTAAAAATCATTTAATTCTTTCCTGTATGACAGCATCAGGGTTTCAACTCTTAATTTAAATATATATGATGAGAAAAATACTCATATTTACTGTTTACTTCGGCTCCATTTTCTCTGTCAGGAACGAACGCTGTATTTTTAAAAATTCAAACGCTTGAAAGCGCTTAGCTGCAGTTCCTCTGACCACAGGTAGAGGGCAGCACAGCTCATATGTTGTGCTTCATTGCAGACAAGAAAATAAAAACCAGAATGAATCGCTAATTTAAGTGTGACAAAATTTTGAAATGTTAGATTATCCTCAAAACTTCAAAAACATTAAAAGATGAACTATCAGCATGAAGAATGTTAGCTACCTAGCTAGCCGGGCTAAAACTTCCCAATCTGTACCCGCTGTTTGTTCGTCTGTGTGCAGTAGTTCTCACGTGAGCATTATTTCAGTAAGAGTTCATCAGCTGGTGTTGTAGTCGGGGCTCATCTCAGACAAGAAGCAGCTCACTGGTCCAACGCTAATGTCTGTTCGGTGTTTTCCTGCCCGTCCTGCTGTGAGTCGGTGTAACGCTGTGACGTTTCCCACCAGGACGGCTCTGGTGCTCTGAAGAGGAGCGGCTCCTTCAGCAAGCTGCGAGCGTCGATCCGTCGCAGCAGCGAGAAGCTCGTCCGCAAGCTGAAGGGCGGCAGCTCGACTCGGGACGGCGAGCCCAAAAACCCCGGGTAACTATGAACCCCTCCACCAACCCCCACATCCACCAAACCCACCGCTGCAGCACCTGGCCGAGCCGACGGGCGGCAAACTAACCAAAACAAAACTAAAGAAGGGATTCTGCTTTGCTGGTGGTGAAGTGGTGAAACTCTAAAGCTGCGTTTGCACATGAAATGACGGAGGAGCTTTTACTGCCTGTTTCCCATCGCATCTGTTTTTTTTTTTTTTTTTTATTCGCTCTGCCTTCAAACTGCTGTTTTATCGTTCAGGTTGGTTGGTAGCGACAGAAGCAAAGGTTAGAAAGTGTGAAACAAATAAAGTAGTGTAAACTTGTAGTAGTGGAGTAAAAAAAAAATAAAGGTGCAATACTTTCAGTAAGAATCACCCACAGATGTAAATGGTGATATGTGAAGATGGAAAAACAACTAGAGGGAGAAAAATATTTATACTTGCAAACATTTACACACGTTTTAATATTGTCATTAAAAAAAAACAGTAATTTGGGACAAACGTGGTAAAACTAGTAGCACTGTTTTGATAAAATAGTTCTAATAAAATACTATGATTACACAAATTTGAAAGTAGAAACTGGTGAAGAATGTCGGAGTATTTCTGGAATTAATTCACAATAAATACGGCTGTGATAGATCAACAGGACAGGTGCAGTGTTTTCAGTGAGAAACCTCTGAAATGATCTTAGTACACGTTGAAGTAAAAATTATAAAGGTGGAAAAAAGCAGCGCGCAAAGTGTTTTACGGACAAAGAATATACGTGAAAGTTTCAGTATTTTGAGAAAACGGTTACAGTGCAGTCGTACAAGTTATTGTATTTTTAGAAAATGGTTGTGATACGAAGGCCTGAGAGTGAAACAGTGCGATGCTGCGAACAGTCACGTAGTTATTCGTGCTGTAGTGAGAAAATTAAAACAATTAAAGCCGCAAACGGCGATGGACGGGTCCTCGCCCTACGCTTAGCGCACGTCGGGATGTGGCGCAAATGTCCTCCGGGCCAGACTCTGATTCGGCGTGTTGAGTTTGAGGCAGATCGGAGCACATGCGGCCTAGTTACGAGCCACAACATTGTTGCAATTGTGCCGATGTCATCATCAGGATGACATATTCAAAGCCCTACAACATTGTTGCAATTGTGACGATGTCATCATTGAACATGTTAATGGGCTTTTTTGTGCATCACCAGTTGTTACACATGTGTGGCGAAGTTCGTAGTTGTAGGTGAAACGTAGCCACGATGGGACTCTGTTGAAATATTGTAGGGGGCGCAGTTGAGCCGTGTTGCATTTTAGAGCTTGGAGCGGGGAGACTCAAAATGACGTTTCTTTTGGCAGAAAAATAATAATAATAATAATAAACCTAACAGTTACAATAGAGTCCTTGCACTGCTCGTGCTCAGACCCTAACTTTTAGTATTA